ATTCCATTCATCTGATTTGCTACTACATCTACATCTTTTCCCTTTGTTTTTTCCCGTTCCTCAGTTTTGTATTCCTTTGTCTAAACAGGCCGAGGAAATTGGCAGCGGCTCCTGTAGCCTACCGTATGTAGAACTAGCATAGCCAAGCACAACCAGTATAAGAACCGTATTCAAGAATATTTTTCTATGTACCTACTCTAGTGGATCGTGGAAAATCGAAATGCCGTATAAGTAAAGTTAGAGCACGAAATTTAAAAACTGGACCTACGAGGGTATGACCACCCCTAGGCATTACATTAAGAAGAAGACCTTCTCACACATGCCCAGTGAAAGGTCCTTGTTTGATTTTGGTAATTGAGTGACAACCTAGGTGGACTAATTGTGTTTACGTGAGATACACAGGTGATTAGTCCACAGGTACATGTGTGTGAGCAACATATGCCATGAAGGTGACAATGGCTTGGAGATGTTGCAAAACTCACACATGTGATGATGAAGGAGCTTAAATGCACATGAGACATGACATTAAGTCATGTGATCAAGGTGGAGAAGATCAAGACAAGACTTGGCTTGATGAACCGGTTGCAAGCGTGAAGGGCAAGTCGAAGGCTTTGGAGTGATGGACCGCGTGGCGGTGAAGCTTGAGCAAGACTTGGCACCGATGAACGATGGCAACGGTGAAGAGCAAGTGAAGTCAAGATCGATTAACCAATATGATCACATGATGATATGAAGTGGATCATATCATTGTTGATCATGTTGGTGCATGTGTTGCATCGATATTGGAGGAGATGGAATGGAATGCGCAAGGCAAAGGTATAACCTAGGGCATTTCATTTCACCGGTCATAGGTGTGTAGAGAAGTATATGACCGGGTTTAGGATAGATGGCCGTACTATCAAGAGGGGCAAATTTGTTTGCATATCGGTCATCTAGTGCCACTCGAGTGATCTAACTTTGCATCGTCGCTAGGATCGAGTGGCGTGGCAAGTTGAGTGGCTAACATCCTTTGGGAAATGATTGTGAAAAGCTAACACACATACACATGGTGGTATACACTTGGTGGTGTTGGCACATTTACAAAAGGAGGTGGCGCTTTCGAGAAAATGAAATGCCTATTTTCTATTGCGCCGGATGTAAATTCTTGTGGTTGGCACATTGGAGCAAGGGTGAAGAAGTTAGAAGTGAAAACGAGTTGATCACGAGAACGCTGGCTTCGGTCTTCTGACCGGACGCTGGGTCACGCAGCGACCGGACGCTGAAAGGCTGCGTCCGGTCACACTGACAGGTCTGCTCTGTACCGAGGGTATTGCACCGGACGCTGGTCTGTGTCCGGTCAAGGTGGACCGGACACGTCCGGTCGAGAAAATATGCCTCGGGGAGATTACTGGAAACGACTGGACGCTGGGGCTTCAGCGTCCGGTCAGTTTTACCGCTGCGTCTGGTCAGGTCAAGTGACCGTTGGGATCGGGACGCGTGGCCATCTGCGGACGACCGGACGCTGAGGTCTAGCGTCTGGTCAACACGACCGGAGCGTCCGGTCGGCCCGACTTTTGCCCAGTGAAGGGGTAACGGCTAGTTTAGCCCTTGGGGCTATAAATAGAAGTGGCCCTCGGCCATGGCTGTTGCTGAGCACCTTGAGGGACTTAGTGTCCATGCTTGTGAGTGCTTGGGAGCCCTCCATCACACATATACTTGATAGTGATCATTCGATTGTGTGAGTGAGCGATTCTAGTGCGATTGCATCGTGAGGTTGCATCGAGTGGCACTAGATGGTCGTGTTGCAAGCTGGTGGTGCTTGTTACTCTTGGAGGTTGCCACCTCCTAGACGGCTTAGTGGTGGTCTCCGTCGAAGCCCGCAAGAAGCTTGTGCGGCGCTCCGGAGAAGTGCTTGTGAGGGGTACTTGTGCTCGCCCCGCGGGAGTCGCGAAGAGCAACTTTAGTAAAGCGTGTCATTGAGCTACCCTCACTCAAGGGGTAGGTTCTTGCGGTGCCCGATGTGCGGGCTTAGCGGGTGATGCTAATTAGCCGCCGAACCACCAAGTGAGCGGTCGACACAACGGGGACTAGCGTGTTGGCAAACACGTGAACCTCGAGAGAAAAATCATCGTGTCAACCTTGTTCTTCCCGTTGGTTTGCATCCCCATTACACAAGCTTGCAATTACTTTTATATATCTTAAGCTTGTGTAGTTGCTCTTGTAATTAGATAGCTTGTGTAGCTAGCTAATTACCTTCTTGCTTGTGTAGTATAGAAGTAGCTCCCTTGCGTGGCTAATTTGGTTTTAGTAACCTTGTTAGTCACATTGCTTAGTTTGTGTAGCTAAGTATTTGTGCTCTCTAATTAGGCATTGGTTGCCTTGTTATTGAGCATTGCTAGTGAGCTTAGTTAGCTTTGTGCTTTTGCTTACTAGCATGTGTAGGAGCTCCCTTGTTACTTAAAGTACTAGTGGCATAGGTTTGTGTGACCTTGCTCCTAGAATTGTTTAGGAGAGCTCTAGCTAGCCCGGCACCTTAGTTGCTTTATTAGTATCTTTGCAAGGTGCTATAGAACATATATTGAGGGGTGTAGTCTTGGCTAGATCGATAGTTGTATTTCCGCATTTGTTTCGGTTAGCCGACGCGATTAATTTTACAAAAGACTATTCACCCCCCCTCTAGTCCGCCATCTCGACCCTACACCCAGAAAACCCCCGAACCACTGTCCCACTCTTACACAGCGGCACCGTCGTCCTGTGAGAACGGGCCGGTCCTTAGACCTGTGCTTTGGTGTGGGACATATGAGGGGATTTTTTTAACCCAAGCCTGAAATTCGCTCCCATGGGGAGTCGAACCCAAGACCTGAGGAGTGCCGCCGGGACGCTCTAACCAGTTGGACTAGAGACCCTTTGGCAGAACATGAAATTTAACAAAAGCTAGAAATGCTAGTTAGGCCTTCTCCTACACGGGCTGTCCATGTTGCTGGTTTCATCCAAAAGTTGCAAACTACATACTTCCTCTGTATTGGTAATTCAAGTCGTTTTGGACAAGGCTTGGGTCAAACATTGAAAATATAAATCATGAATAACTTTTAAGTTGTTGAGTTTGGAAATGTGAAAACCATATGAAAAGATTTGTCTTAAAAAGTGTCATAAAATATACATATATCACTTTTCAATAAATATTTTTATAAAAATAATAAGTCAAAGTTATGCAGAGACCGTGTCACTCCAAAATGACTTGAATTACTAATATGTAGGGAGTACGTCTAAACAAAACCAATGCTATACTACTCTTAATGTGAGCCTGGCGACTTCAGCTTTTTTGTCATATCTTTGTGTGCTCTTTCTTTGGGACGTGTCATGAGGATACACTCAGATATGCTGCAACACATTTGGAGTAGTGGTTTCATCTTTTTTCACACTAGGTATCGATTTTCTGTAAGTCACTCGGTTGGCCTACAGAGCCACTAATGGGCATGCGATGTAGGACTCAAGCCGACATGGAAGCTGGGGCTAATGGCCAACGTGATGTATCGAGGATGCCCTTATAGCGTTTTGTAGGTTAGCTCCCTTTTGACATCGTATATGGTACCAATCAAAGTCTGAAGTTGACAAGTGATAGTATGGTGCCACGTGATTGTATAGTGTTGCTCACTTTCTCCCTCTCACCAAGGGTGATCTAGCAGTAGTAAGGCGAGCGGGGCTCAATCCCCCACTACCGCTTCCGTTCCAATGGAGCTTCACCGTTAGCCCCTCCTATAGACATGAAAGAGAGGAATGATAGGCTCTATATATTGAAGATGACTTAGGCCCCCTTCTAGTATGAATATCTAGATCCACCACCGCCTCCTAGCATTCAGTCGCGGCTAGTTCGCTAGAAAGTGGCGGGATCTGACACGCACAGCACACACGGTGTGATCAAATGATAACACGCATGATAAAATGCTCTTTGCAGCAGAATGAATTGTGTGCTTTGATACAATTGTGGCATCTACATACATCACCGGGTGCTTATTATCTCATAATAGTCTCTTAATGTTCCCTTTCCACTATTGGTCTAACATAGGGCAGGGCCGATTACTATACTACCTTTGGTCGTTTCGGGAATCAAGCTTTATTTAATTTATCATTTGTTGATTAGCTATTGTACTATTTTTGGTCTATACATGAATCGAGAGGATATGATTGAGCAGAAAGGCAGTTTGGGCGGTCTCGGATACCAAACTTCGCAAGTTTCATAAAATCATAGTCTATATTATGGTGCTTAGTTCAGAATAAAAACATAGAACGTTATTTTAGAGAAAACATGAAACTGGTTTTATATTTTTCTGAGCTCAAAAAATTTTGTATCAAATTTTTAATATTAAATCAGATTTTAGTATTTTTAAATGCATATTTATTTTAGAAAATATTTGGATAATTTTTTGAAAAGACATTTCTATTTTTTTTATAAATTCTAGATCTTCTGAACTGACGTGGTGCCACATGTGTTTCAAAACTATCTAAGCCTAATTGTTTCAAAAGTCTTAGGAGTCTAAAAAACTAGTTTTTTTTATTAAAAATGATAAATCTAACTTGTGATTGATAGTTAAATGTGTGTAGATGGTCTTTTTTTAAGAAATCCTTTATATCTTCATATAGATTTGCTATGAAAATATATACTCTTCTAAAAAATGAATCTTTAGTATTTCTTTTTAAGAAATAAATCTTTTTAAGCCTGATAATTATAAGTTAGAAAAATACTGTTCGCTGATCTGTTGCGAGAGGAAAATACTGTTATGGCTGTAGATCCCGCCTTGTCTTTTTGGTCAAACAAAATTCAACCCGTTTCTTTCTTGCCCAGAACGCAAAACCCGCTCGAACAATAGGAAAAACGGAAGCCGCGGTGAGATAGAAAATTCACACTTGGCCTTCCTCCCTAGTCCCACTTATCAGCATCACGCCATCACGCCCCCGCCTGAGCGCCGTCTTCGGTCGCCATCCCTGCATCGCCCGCGCCGCATCGCATCGCCGCTTCCGCCATGCGCCGCTTCGCAGCCGACAGGGCGCGACGCGCGGTGGCTGCGTCCCTGCGCGGCGCAGCGTCCAGATCAGCAGCGCCGTCGCCTCACGCTCCGCCGCCGCGTCATCCAGCCTCCCCGATGGGGGCGGCGGCGATGGCGGCCGCCATGGCGAGGGCCATGTCCACGGCGGCCGCGGGCGCGCCGCCAGTGTCGCTCGACACCATCAACCCCAAGGTGCCGCTTTTGTGCCCCCCTTCTTTGATTCCTCTGTTTAGCTTGTTTGGGTTGCTCTGTTCTGTGATCGATTAGCGGGGCAATGGAAAGTTTCGATCTCTGTTAGAGTGTGTTGAAAGCGTGTTGCTGCTTTTATTAGTTGGGTTGCTCTGTTCTGTTCGTACTGTAACTGTTGGGACTTTTGATCAAAAAAACTGTTGGGAGTTCAGTGTCCGTCCATCAGTCCATGGGTAAGAGATCGAAGTAAAAAGCTTACTTCTGAGCACTATTGGGAGGGGTTAGTAGTAATGCGAATTCTACAATGCATCGTTGCTTTAACTTGCAAATTGTATCACCCTGAATTGATGTGATTTGTTATGTTTCTTCAGGTCTTGAAGTGTGAATATGCAGTTCGGGGAGAGATTGTTACACATGCTCAGGTACGTCAAATATGAACTAGTCGATAATCGGTAGTAAATTCTGCTGTCTTGAGTAACTTGGAGATGTTTATTGCTACCCCACGGTCTTAATTCAAAAATAAATCAACTGCTACTCCATGTTACTTCATGTTGGAAGAAACAAGGAACTAGTCCAGGGTTAGGGTGAAAGTTGATGCTGTATATGCTGATGCTGACATGATATGACCTTATGTTTGTTATATGAAACAGGACTGCACTATCTAGAATAGTTTTCAATATGACTCTGCTGGACTCGGTTTATGATCTTGTTTTCCTTCTGCAGAACTTACAACAAGAATTGCAGAAAAATCCAGAATCACTTCCTTTCGACGAGGTTTGTATTTGGATCCCATGAACTGCATCTCTACACTTATTGTTTCCGATGGTCAGTGGATTTTGCTACATCTATTTATTTTAATGGCAGATACTCTACTGTAATATTGGAAATCCCCAATCACTTGGACAACAACCAGTTACCTATTTCAGAGAAGTGAGTTTCTGTTCCTTGTATTTTGGTTATTTGATGCAACTACCGATGGAATGTTCATGGTTGCTTACTAGCTCATGTTGGTTTTTCAGGTTCTCTCTTTATGTGATCATCCAGCTCTCCTGGACAAAAGTGAAACTCATGCTTTGTACAGGTACATGCAAGAATTCAATATTAGATAACCACATGTAAATCAATGCTAACTTGGTTAGTTGACTTTAATACTATATGCTAAGCCACACGCCTAGTAATAATCTAAAATGACAAGAACCAACTTTCTGTCTGAGTCATTTGTAACTGTTTTTAGAGCTATGTCAGTATGTAAGAGACAAGTATAAGAAGTTTAGTAACTGCTCAGCATAACCATTTATCTGCCTGCTCATGTTTGGGGACAAAAGTAGTTGCTTAATCTTCTAGAAACCTTATCTGTCGTGGTGCACTCATGATGTTGTGGCTCACATGAGAAATGAGAGCTCAATTTCTAGAGCAGGTATAAGTTAGTTCTGAAATTTCCAAACCCTTTGAATCTGTAGAAACTGTCATCTATAGTGTCTTGTCACAAGCACTTGAGCTTTCTCTTAAACCCTTTGAATCTGTAGGAACATTTGCATATTGACACATTTAGTTTTAAACAGCTTTCCTAGACACTAAACTGATCATTTAGGTGCTAGGTAGGTGGCTAACTACATACAATTTGTTTGCGGGCCTAGAATGTTGATTTATATTTATGTTTTCATACAGTTCAGATGCTATAGAGAGAGCATGGCAAATTCTAGAGAAGATACCAGGTAGAGCGACAGGAGCATATAGCCATAGTCAGGTACATATATAATGCAGTCTTGGATGAATGCTGTTATGATTGGATGAGCTTGATCACTCATGTTGCTCTCTATTTCAGGGTGTAAAAGGTCTACGTGATGAAATTGCTACTGGAATTGCTGCCCGTGATGGGTTTCATGCAAGCGGAGATAACATCTTCCTAACAGATGGAGCAAGCCCAGCAGTATGTACTATATATCTTGTTTTGATCAGTGGTAGTCCATTTATGTGGAATAAGAGCTTATTCATCTGACTAGCTGTAATCGGCTGACTGTACATATGGACAAAAGCTTGCCCTTGTTACTGATATAGTGTGATTTCTTTTTTCAACTAGGTGCACATGATGATGCAGTTGTTGATAAGTTCTGAGAAGGATGGCATTCTCTGCCCTATTCCACAGTACCCACTGTACTCTGCATCAATTGCTCTTCACGGTGGTTCCCTTGTATGTTCTGTGACAATGCTTCTATGCTGTTTGTTATTGCTTGTTGAATCAGATCAATGTCATCTCAACTTGCTGTTTTAGGCAATAATTTGAGTTAAATACTTCATATAATTCACTGAGTTCAGTAAAGTCATTTCATAATGATTAGTGAATCGATTATCACCTGTCAAAATTGGTTTGTATGTATGACTGCTGTTATATGCTACTAACATAGCAAACCTGCAGTAATATGATCTCTGACAATTTGATTTGTGAACAAATTTTCTTTCAGGTTCCTTATTTCCTTGATGAAGAGACAGGGTGGGGACTCGAGGTTGATGAGCTGAAGAAACAACTGGAGGAGGCTCGATCTAAGGGCATCACTGTTAAGGCGCTTGTTGTCATAAATCCAGGAAATCCAACAGGACAGGTAATTATTTGTCTGTTTGTTACATGCAAAAATGACAGATCTTGCATGGTTCTCATTAGGAAAAATATACCTCATTCATTTGTAATATTATGTGAGATAAAAAAAATTACCCATAAGACAAATAATGGCATCATATCCCATTTTTTACGAGAATTATGATCTTGGTAGGTTCTTGCTGAGGAAAACCAAAAGAAAATTGTCGAATTCTGCAAGAATGAAGGACTTGTTCTTCTCGCGGATGAGGTGAGTCGGAACTTGTGTTTGAGGTTTTCACCATAACAATACCCATGAGCTGTTCACACACTTAAACATGGTATGTCTACTAACACCATTTATTTATCCATATCCCCTCTAGGTTTACCAAGAAAATATATATGTTGAAGATAAGCAATTCCACTCATTCAAAAAAATTGCACGATCACTGGGATACACTGATGATGATCTTCCTTTGGTATCATTCCAGTCGGTTTCTAAAGGTAATCAAAATCAAACTCGGGTGGTTCTATGCTCTATATAGTCCTATTCTGTTTGCCCCTCCTAGTTTGTTTGTTTGTTTTTTTTTGTAAAACTTACTCTTTGTGCTGCACCGCTGCTAGGGTACTACGGAGAATGTGGAAAACGAGGTGGTTATATGGAGATAACTGGATTCAGTCCTGAAGTACGGGAACAAATTTACAAGGTGGCATCAGTAAATCTATGCTCCAATGTTTCGGGGCAAATTCTTGCTAGCCTTGTAATGAACCCACCAAAGGTCAGTGTAGGATGCTTAGGAAACTCTTAAGTACAACAATGATGGCAGTAACTAAGATATTTTGTACCTCCATAGGCTGGGGATGAATCCTTTGAATCCTTCATGGTAGAGAGGGATGGTATCCTTTCATCATTGGCTCGGCGTGCAAAGGTTTGTGCTACTCCTGCCCCTTCTAAGATTGATTGATTGTACTAGGCTGAAAGTGCAAGTCTAAATGTATTACTTTTTCCCTTACATGTTTAGAGGCCTAATACTAAAATATCAATAATAATAAAAGCTACCCCTGGTCGAGTAGTCCGTTAACATATGCAAAATAACTTAAAGATTTTTTTCCCTGAATATTTTAAGCACCTTCTTGTTGTTACATATTCTTATTTGTCACAGGCTTTGGAAGAAGCATTCAATAGTTTAGAAGGTATTACATGCAATAAAGCCGAAGGTGCAATGTATCTGTTCCCACGCCTTCATTTACCCCAGAAGGCGATCGGAGCTGCCCAAGCAGCTGGCACTGCCCCAGATGCATACTATGCTAAACGCCTACTAGAAGCCACTGGGATTGTCGTCGTCCCTGGTTCTGGTTTTGGACAGGTTGGTGATCTCAAAAGCCTCATGAAAGTCATTGTCGTTTGAAAGCATCATTAAACTTGCACTGACACATTGTTTTGTTGGATTAGGTCCCTGGAACATGGCACTTCAGATGCACGATACTGCCGCAGGAGGACAAAATACCTGCAATAATATCTAGGTTCAAGGAGTTTCACGAGAAGTTCATGGATGAATTCCGTGATTGAGTATCCATCACTGGCGTCCATCTCAATCTTGGCATACCATCAGTTTTCTGCCAGAGGGCATCCTGTAATTTTTTCTGTTGAAATAATAAGGTTGCCAATTGGTGCCCCCTCATCGTCCTATGGATGCTACAGCCAAACACCATCCTAACTTCTGTTACAGGCACATCCTATGAAACCTTACAGAATCTCGGGCACTGCAATTCCATGCTTCTGTTTGCCTTGTGAGAAGTGTATTTAGAGGCTAGGTTCTGAGCCCTGGTGTTTACAAAACATACCCGAATTTTGAGGCCAAGTTGAAATGTTTCGGCGCATCCTCAAATTCTGCCTTGTGTCCAGGAGAATCTTTTGGTGTGTTTGTTTGAGGAACGTGGTGGTCCATCTTCTTCTCACTCCTTATTTTTTGTGTTTGGTTTATAGAATGGAATGAGTTGATCAATCACCACCTCATTCTTAAAAAGCTAATAATTAGTATATGCACGAAGAATGTGTTGATTTTACCAAAATTTATAGGATAAACTCATAATGCATCACCTCAAGTATGGTTTGACTCCACAAACCAAACACACCCTGCCAGGTGATCTGTTTGGTGACTAGCTGACTGCTCTGCTTCTGCTCATTTGACATTGCTACAGGTAAAGACACCAGTAGGAGTGTTGAACCTGCATCTACTACTATTGTCCCGGGGCCTGTTTAGATCCCATCAAAATTCCAAGTTTTTTCACCCTCTCTCCATCACATCAATTTTTGGACACATGCATGGAACATTAAATGTAGGTAAAAAAAATAATTAATTACACAGTTTGGTTGTAAATCACGAGACTAATCTTTTGAGCCTAATTAGTCCATGATCGGACAAAGTTGGTCAAATACAAACGAAACGTGCTACAGTGTCCGGATTGTAAAAATTTGCAATGTAAACAAGGCCCAGATATGACAATGCAGGGAGTGGAGACTCTGTACAAAGTAACACTCTTTCATAGAGAGTTGGGCAAATTGTTTTCAATTGCATGTTCGCTTCAGCGAGGATATGTCCAATCCCAGGGTTTAGGTAGAGTCTCGTATAGGTGGTCCATCGGCTCCTGCACTGATGGGCCCAAAAGCGCCTCAGCCCAGCCTGGATCAGCTTTGCCTGCTTCAGTACTGCACTCGCGCTGCTTAGCAAAGCATCTTGCTTCTGAAAATTCTTCACGATTAGCCGCACATCATTACAATTCACTGTGTTTTTATTGACCACTTGTTTGATATGAGCTTAGACTTGTAAAAAAAACTGGAACAACTAGGTGACATTTTATAGTAATATTAATATCAATATCAATAAGAAACTACTCTATCTGTTCCATTTTATCTGGCGCAAGTTAGAACAACACGGTCTTCTATATTACACTTTGACCATTCATTTGCTTTATATTATATTATTTATGCTTATAAACTTATAATCATTGGATAGTATAATTTTTTACAAATCTAATTATATAAAGTTTGTATTGTAATAGTTAGAAATTATTAGTCTAATCATTGGTCAAAGTTTTTAAAGTTTGAATCTTGATATGCGTGTGCGCCAGATAAAATGGAATGAAGTAGGAGGCATCAAAATTTGACTGGACGATGAGTTGAACCTGGATAGTCTGGCATACATCTATACCCTCAACCAACTGATCTATATAAGCTAGCTCTAGACTTTGTAGCGACCCAAAAGAGGAGAGGATTGTGGCTTTTGTTGGATATATTATGGGTTTGGCCCATATAATATTAAATAAATCAAATAAACTCTATAGCCTGTAATAATGCACGATATATGGTTTAATATCATATGAGATTTTGACTAGACATTGACTCAGTTTATATGGTTGGACATTGTCTATCTATATTGAGAAGCTGAGAAAAGGACGCTGGTATGCCACGTGCGCGCGCCGTCGCTGGCCGAGGCGTGGGCGTGGGCGTGCGGACGGACGGACCCATGTTTTGCCAATCAAGTCGCATAATTACGGGAGTTTCTTCCGTTTTTAGTTAGTGTTAATTTGATGATGGGAGTTTCTCCGTTACTGATGCTGAACCTTGATAGCGAGAGCTCTCTCGTCTCCTATCTCTTGATCTCCTCATGAGCCTCTTTGCTTCCCAGCTGCGAGCTTATAATCCCATCTCCTCCGTCAGTCATTCTCCTTCGTTTTCGAGACAACCACATATTCAGTTGCTCTCTGGTTCTCCCCGTCCCGGTCCCTATGCGCACAGGGAACAGGGAGAGTAGGCCTCCAAAACTTCTACCGTCTTCGAGTTCACCTGCTCGGGTGAAGGGCGGCAATCACGTTTTTAGGGAGTGTCACTAGCGACACGACTACTCGCTTGATCCTCTACTTCCTGGAGGATCGCTGGTGATCGGCACAGCTTCTCATCTGCACTGCATCGAGTGGGACGACTACATCGACAGGCACTATGTCTTCGAGTGCATCCGTATTGGTATATTTAACGCGCACAGATAAATCCACATGTGCACGGATACCGCTGTAGCTTTCACCCGAAGGTATTCCAAGTATCATATCCACAGGAAAATATGTGATACTAACTACGGTTTAACTTAACTAAAGGTAGCAACAAGGTTATGATAAATGGGAGCGTAGAGAGGATAACTAAAGTTCTCTAGTTCTGACTTAGGTAAGCTTATGTATTCTACTATTCAACTGGTCACATTACTAGGGAAAGACACTAGCAGAGGATGCTTTCCTTCACAACCGCGTCCTACGTGCGCCTACAGACGGGAGGTGGACTACAAAGGATCAACGAAGCTATATAGTACAGGCTATATAGAACTTATGTCACTCACACGATCTACCACCTTTCGAAATGCAGGGTGCATCCACGATTAACCCAAGTCTAAGCACCACGCTTATACTTACGATTAATACTCTACTCTCTCTAGAACGGAAATAAAGCACTCAAGAGAGTTGTGAACCTGAAGAACAATATAAACAAGATGCTTATTTGAATTAGAAGTTGATTACCAGAGATATCTCGAAGGCAAGCTCAAGTAGAACTTGGATCCACCAAGGTACAAGCTGTAGAGAGAGCACCAATAGGCCAGCACCTCCTCCAAACTTTTCCCTCACTCTCTATCTCACTATTTCTATTCATAAGACTAGATCCTATAGAGTACTAATCTTCTCTTGATAACTGGCTCTGATCGTGACGAGGAGAATATGAATTAGGGTTTTAGGATTGCTCCAGGGAGGGTGGTAGAGGCTGGTATATATAGGTCGGAGGATCCAACGTGAGCTCTTGGATCAAACCGACTTAAAAGACGGCGTAGATGCAACCTAGGAGGCGGTGGAGAACCGACATTGCGACACGGCCTGCAGGTGGGCCCAAGGGTCGGGTGGCCTACAGGTGGGGCTGGTTGGCCCCACATGGCAGCCCCTCGGGGTCTGCTTCGGTGGAGATCCTCCTGGAGTCTTCTAGAATCTTCCCGTGTTGGTTTCACGGTGGAATTTCATAATTTCCGTTGACGAATAGGACCCCCTTGATGATTTCCTGGATAAACCCTGCTGAAAACATAGATTCACCAAAACTCATGAAATTTATTAGTTTAAACCCCTATACCTATTATTGGTGATGGAATTAAGTATATATGCAGGTTATGTTGACGGTTTATAATTGATGTTAGTGACCGTCAACAATTTCCCCCAAGCTTAACATTTGGCAGTCCCTGAGCAAAACTAAACTCAGCAATGGATTAGGAGTTGCTATAATATTTTTACGCCTCAAAAGTACACATGCGTTCAATCAAGAATTCTCCTCCGGATTAGAATAAACTGATCTGACTTTGAAACTTACTCATATTACCTTCAACCATGGGGCTTCTCAGTCTTCACTTGTGTCTTGAGCAATTGAAAGACAGAACGATCAAGTCAAGCACTATGTCTCAAGTTCTTTGTTTTACCATTGTTCCGGAGTTTTTATAAGTTTTCAAAATAAAACTCAGAGATTTCATTGTATGACACTCTCAAGTCTCTCAATATATGTGGTATTTGTAGATCCTCACCAAGGCAATAAAGATGTTATACATTTTTCTCTTCCTACAACTAAGGCTTATGTGGAGTTCATAGGTAGGGAGAAAGGTAGAGCATACTTGCAATGCATATATTGTAAAGTCAAACAACGGATCCAAAGAGAGTTTAGTCATACAATCAAATCAAGATATGCATGTGTGTGGATATATGGTGGCTAACCTAATTCTACTATGCTCCTTGAAAACATATCTCTCTTTTGAAACTTGAAAACATTTGCTAGAGAGCAGAGGCTATCTTATTCATCTCTCTTTCTCTTCTCTTTTTTTCAGGCGGGCATCTAAGTACCCATTGTTTTAAATATCACAGACACTTGTCCATTTTTTTCTCATCTCTTCTTTTTTTATGAATAACTTTTGCATAGCCCCATGTCTCTTTTCTGCAACAAAACTTTTGAGAGATAGCAACAAGAATATGGAGCATTTATTTAGTGGATGGGTGTGGCAGAACCACCTGAGTTAATGCCCTCCCAAGAGTACCTATCTACCACTAGACACCAAGTACCCAGGGGAGCGCACTAATTCAGATTGTTCCATCGAGCACATCCAACGGGAGAACTCGAAAATCCACATCTTTCATCAGGATCATAAACGAGAGGATAAAGCTTACAACATTCTTAGCCATTTCTTACACCACTTTATTACAACATTACAGTACTTAACAAGTTGAATACAACAACGAAAATTAAGCATATGATTAGAGTTACAACAGAAACAAAAATTTATCTAATGACATGGTGAAGCATTAACGTAGTGGATATTTCTATACAAGATATGCTAGCAGATTTTACATCTTTTCTTATAAAAACCTTTAGTGAGGGTTATAAATAAACACTACGATTGCAGCGTGGAAGGAATCCTCTCTGAGCCCACAAGAAGGTTTTCACACACAAAAGTCAGCTCTAGTATCCACCTGTCACCTGCAACAAGGGAAATAAAACCC